AAAAAGATCCAAATTAGGCATCAGAAAAAGTTTTTTTCCACAAAAGAATGGTTAATTACTGCAGCAAAGTGTGCAGAGAGGTTCTGGAACAAGGAGGACAAACCGCTCAGGAACAGTTCAGGCTCAGCTGACCCTGCTTTGAGGCACAAGGAACAGTGGAGACAACTCCTTGAGCTCCACTCAGGCCTTTGCTGTAGCTTTCCCCATCCCCATGTCTCCCTTTGCCTCACTCTTGGTATAGACAAAATGGGGATAATGGTGTAAAGACGTTCAGAGCTCTACTGACAAAAAAAATCACTATTTCAGATTCTGGATTAGGTGGTAACAGCCAAGTAGCAGATCAGTTGCAAGCCTACATGAAAACTCAAACTGCTGAAATAATCACCATCTCTGACAACAGACGTCTTTCCTTACGCTAGGAAAGAAGAAATGTAATGACAGAAGTCTTCGTTAGCACAAAATTACAGTCATCCTGCCACACAACCTGTCTCTAACGTGTTGCACTCTGACACTCAGATTAAAAGCTAACAGAAAGAAGAACAAACGCACGTTCCAGTGCAAATCTGAACCTTTTCTGAGCAATAACTGAACACACATGCTTGTCCCTGTTTCAGTACATGCTACATACCATTCTGGCAGAAGGACACAGGGGCTTCTTACTATTACGGCAATACTGATCTTTCAAGTGAAGAATAAATAACAGGAACTGCTGGCACCACTGAGCCCACTACAGAGAAATAACCCCAATTTCCTCAACATTAAACCAATTACCTTCCAAGCCTAGAAATCCCTTTAGTGCTACTTTTTTTTAATTTCATTATTATACACACAAACCTTCTGTTTAAATTCCTCACAATAATTAGTTTTCCATATATCCACTGACAAAACTAAGAGGATTTATCACTTAACGCTTTGTATAACACGTATGTCACTTTTGATCACACATTGAGGAGGGTGCTCAGACTCAGGGCACCTGGCACAAAACCACACACTGTTGGAAATTAATCTTCCACAATTCAATGCAGTTGCATGCAACACGACTACAGCCAAACTCCCAAATGGACTTGCACCTTCAGAGAGTAGCAGATCCGATGTGCTGTTGCAAGAGAACATCCCTTTTCCTGCCTTAACAAGGATTTGCCACCATTGAACAAAGTGTCCTGGAAGAGCTATGTTAGGAATTGTTTTGTCAAGATTAATAAATAAATGACGTATCAGGTACATTGTCATTTTCACAAAATTTCCAGAAACCATTAACGAAAGCAGTGCACTGACATGAACTCTATCTAAAAAATAATTAATGCATTCTCACAATTCAATTTTAGTTCTAAACTATCATGGAAAGCCGTACAAAGTTTCTCCAAAGTATAATGAAAGGAATCGTGCTTTCCAGTCATGGTGAGATTTTAAAAATGCAAGTTTTATTTTTACTGATAAAAGAACAGGCAGTGCAAAAATAAGTGCCCTCTTTCTAGAACGTGTCAGACAGTTATGACAGAAATCCCATTAACAAAATTCCCTTATGTATGACTCATTTTTACTTGTCACAAGAAAAATAAGAACAATTCAGATTTTATGTACCTTTCATTATCATCTTCCAAGAAAAAGCCATTTGCCAACAACAGCAAAACAAATTAATATTTTACATTAACACACAAAATGGAGTACTTCATATAGAATTTGCTGTGTACCTAGCATAAAACCTGAAAAGCAAGACATGAAAACATAAGGTAACCAGCAGTACCTGTCCTATCCATTTCTGCAAAATGTATCAAGGTTCAATAAAGGAGTTAAAAATCGGTTTAACTTGGTAATACAAAGAATGAAATATTTTGGTATCAATTATGTCACAAAATGACAAATGTAAAGTTTTGTAGGTACTTAATAAATTTACATTCCTTATTATGTTACATTTTTTTTCAGATTTTTAAGGCTAGCTTTAAGCCTAGAATAATAATGCTGAGTTTAGAATAAGTTATAACATCCCTAAAATTTGCTGTAAATTATAGATAGGCACTTTCAACATCATTGCATTTTGACATGGCTTTTATCCGGCAGAATAAGAAAAGCAGAAATATCCTATTCTACACAAATGATGAGCCAGAGAACAGTATCATAATGCAGTACTAGTAAATGAACTGTAACTGTTTTAATTCCCTCCTCTTAGTTCTTACTCCACTGCAAACATTACAATGTCCAAGATCTTTTCAGGGATATTTCCCACCTAAGTGGATGACCAAATTATTTCTAGTCTTAGTTTAAAAGAGATCAGGTAAGTACCTTGGTCATTTAAATGTAATATTAGTTACTATAATAAAATTTCAAAATATGTAACATTTCAATTTATAGATTACTATAAATATGCAATTACGTTCATCTATTTTACACCAAAACATCTTGTATCTACAGCAGTCATTCACCCAGCAAAACAAAAAGTACTCTCAAAACAAGAAAAAAATGTGTGAAGTAATGCACACACTCTCTAAAGGCCTCACAAAGAGGAGACAATTGACATGAAGCCAATACAATCTACTTAATTTCATTAAAGGAATAACTATTTTGCTATCAGATTAGTTTTCAACCACTTTTTCCTTCTTGTAATTGTTAACTAGAAAAATCTCTGATTCTTTGATTCTACCAAATGTTTCCATAATTCTCTTACCTTCCCCATCCAAAGAACTGTTACAGCAACTTAGAGCTACCATTTATCTCGTTGAAAAGTGCAGATTGACCAAAACATGTAATAGTGACTGGCATGGTGTGGAAAAGTGGAAGGCAGAGAGGCATTGTTAAGATTAACACATTTGGTACAGCACAGAAAACCAGAAAGTAAAACCATCTACAAGAAATGTAAATAAGTGAAACTGATCACATTTGTCATTGACATAGACAACTGATGTCCTTACTGCATGATCAAAATGAGGAAATAGGCATACAAAATAAATTATGAAAAAAATCCATCATTTAAGAAGCTATAAAAAGTAATAATACAGAGCAGCATTTCTCAACTGTTTGGCCATGTTCCCAGGGAACTCACAAAGCATGGGAAGTGTCATTACAGTCTAAAACAGAAACCTTTTCCTCATGGGCTATCCCATAATAGCAAGGGCTGGCTCATTGCATTGGCTATCTTTGGTACCTCAGATCACTTGGCAGGAAAGCGTCACAGCATGATGCCTACTGGGGTATGGGAATTAAGCAGCCCACAATCCAGATGCAGATCGGTGATCTGGCCTACCAGACTACTGGTAGACTTCACGTGAGTCAAAAACCGAAAGCAAACAAAATCTTCCACTCTCTATTGCTCTCTCTGTGCAACCTGATCAAGTTGCAGATGTCCCTGCTCATTGCAGGGGAGGTTGGACTAGATGACCTTTAAAGGTCTCTTCCAACCCAAACCATTCTACGGTTCTATATTCCTGCTACACCTCTCCAAGAACAAACATTTCAGAAGAAATGTTGCATGTCAGAAAAGAGTTAAGAAACAGTAAACTAAACACATCAATAGTAACACAGGTCTACTATCCCACAGTTACTACAAATTCAGGAATCACAGAATGGTTGAGGTTGGAAAGGACTTCTGGATGTCATCTTGTCCAATGCTCCTGCTCAAGCAGGGCCACCTAAAGTCTGTCTGATGAACTGAAGTACTATTGCCTAAGAAGGTGACAATATAAACTTTCAAGCAGTAGCTTCTGCCCTTTCCCATACTGGACCAGTAGCACTCCCTGTACACCTGTAACATCCCTCTTGCCCTCAGTTCTCTCTCCCAGCAGTTACCTGCCATCCTGCCAGCTGTGCGGTGGCAAGTCTACTGTTGATATTATCAATGCCATCCTTCTAAAAGAATAAACAAAACCAAAAAAACCCAGTGACCCAGCAGTTTTCTTGGTGTCCACTTCAAAATGTCATGGAATGACTTCAGACATGTCAGAAAGCAAATTCACTGGAAGTGAATGACTACACTCAGTTTCCAGCTGTAGAACCTCACAAGCCCAGCAATGACAGTCACTGGGAGTTCTCAATGCTTGGCCCTGTCCAAGCATAGCATAAAACCTACATACCCCTTTAGAATGCCATGTGTACTTGGTTTTGGCCTGAAAATTTGTCTGGGTGGAAAAATCAGTTGTTGGGTTTTTTAACTCAAATTTCAGACATCAAGCAGCCTACCTCTGAAAGTGCTGAACAAATGGCAACTGATCATTTTGGATCCTCAAGAAATAATATTTGGCCTGTATTGTCCTAGGAAATCCCGCAATGAAAACATGATTCATTTGCTGATCCGTGGTGCAAAAGTAAAAGCTCAAGAAGCATGTATTCCCCACAAACAAACAGGAAATATGGATGGCTGCAAATCCATGGCATTTTTAATAAGGTATCAAAATATATGTGAATTAATTGCAAGCACATGTATGTACATTGTTAATGTGCATAATTGGCCATGTCTTTTCTAAGTATTTGATAGCATTTTTTTTATCCCTATGTGATTGACTTCTCATTAACTTGACAGATTGCAAAGATCTGTATGTTTGCTGACAACAACAACGTGACAATCTGGGAACACTAAATATCACAGTAGAAAAACACCATACATCTGCCATACAGCAGAAAACTCCTAGGACATATAATCATATTGCAATTGAATGATAACTTTAAACTGCCACAGCTTTATGACCAAACAATTTGAGATTACTGTATTATTTTTAGAAGCAATGGCTGGATAAGACCCCTTTTGAACAGAACATTTAAATATACACAAATGATCCTTCTGTCGCACTGACCAATGGGACAAGTTACATTCAAAGTTAAGAGATTCCTATATAACCAGTTGAACCAGAGATACAGCAAAGAACTCAGCAAAGATAGCCTTCCCCAAATTGCACACTTTTTCAAAACATATTTCTTAGATAATTTCAGTAAAGTCAGTCAGGTGACTTGAGCGAGTAAAAGTTTTTAGAATAAAGCCTTGAAACTCATTCAAAAGGAAAACAGATTCTTACTGTAGTTCTGTGGAACAAGTTCTGGGTTCTTCGGTGTTTTGAGTTTAAAAGACACATCTCCAATAGTGACAGTATCACCTAAAAAAGGGAAAAGAAGTCTTTTAGTTCCCAGATACTTTTTAAGCATTTCATGTCTTTACATTAAAGCTGAAATCATAGATCTGCTGTGGTACGGCTGACTGTGTGTTCACAAAGCAGCCTCTAATGTGTTTGAGAACTCTTAGTTTACTAATTAGGCTCTGCTGCTTTTCAACAGATCAGGCACCAGGACAATTCACATTTAATTAATATTCCTTGCCTTTTTTTTCTTTTGTTGCTCTTGTTATAACCATAACTTAATTTGCTGGGAGCTATGGAATTAAAGCTCACTGTAGAACTCCATTCCAGCCACCATTGTTGATTCATTGAAATCAAATCTTTAGACTCTTTGTCTGCAGAACTGAGAAACACTTGTAGAGGTGATGATTTTCCTGAGTTTTCAAGCAGTATGAAGCCACGTCTGTTGGAGATACAAAACGACATATTCCTGTCAGTGGGCCCTTCCTGCACTCTTTGACTGTATGGCTGCAGAACCTGGCACCTTTCCAAGGTCTGAGAGGTCTCAAGCATTTCTTGCTCAGGATCTCACCAGAACTAAAGCATCTGGCCATTTTATTTACTGGTCTCTTACTAGGACCTGCCTGTCTTATCTGCCTTTCCGCAACCACAGGCTTGAATTAAATTGCAGGGCATGCCCTGTGTACTTTCTCGTGAAAATCAGAAGTGAAATCTAGTTTGCAGCCATAAAATGGATGAGCACTGAGGTGGCGGCAGCCACACAGAAAAACAGCACAACACTCAAAACCCGTGAAGCCAGGAAAATGAGCTGCAGACTGGTAACAAACTCAAAGCTTTTTTTTTTTTCAAGAGACCATCTGAGCCATGCAAATGAGTTCACAAGTATTAAGACCATGGAACTAAGATGACTCTAGTAAAATGATGGTTTTGCCACTACTGTTGCTGAAGATAGCACCACCTTTGCTGCCCAACAGGCACTGTAGTACGTGCATGAGGATGGAGAGGATCACTGGAGTAAGACTGCTGCACAGGGTGCAGTTTTGCCACACCACTCCGATTACACCACCTTTCCATGAACTGAGGCCAAGTTTTGCAACTGTCTCTTGTGCTTTTCTCAGAAGCGAGATGAAAAAAGTACATAGCCCACGAACAAGATCCAACTCTCAAAATTCTTCTGTAAATCTCTACCTTGTCGTACTCCATCCAAGAGCACTCTGTCTACAGTTGTCTATCTCCAGCACCACATAAGGAGTCGTAAGAGTTTAGAAGACCAACACCAGAACCAGAGAGGGAGATGTTGAAGAGGAAACTTGTCCAAATTAACAGAGGCAACTAAAACTCCTCCCATACATACAGCAGCTCTCCTTTCAGTCAGCACTGACCCCAGTTTTGCACTGAAATGCAGTTCTCTTCCAGCATGCCCAGACACTACTTCTCATCTCACAGGACTGAGAATCCTCAGGTTCTGACATGACTCATACAACCCATGGGAAAGGTTACACATTTAGGACTAGATTTATAGCAGCCAGAGGAGAATCCCCTACAGTAACAAACACGAAGTGGCAAAGAAAGGATTATAGCTGATTTCCTCCCAAATTTAAGGGCTTAACAACAATACTGTGACTGGGATTCACAGCCTGACATACATGCCTGCACATGGGTCTTTACGTTGCTCCTGACATCCAAATAATCAACCTCCTATTTTTTCCTTAAAATATTGGCAGAAGGCGGTAAGCTGGTGGTTGTTCCCATACTTTACACAACAATACAGTGTTCAATGGCTTGCCAGAAAGCAGGACACTTAGGCAACAGCAGTACTGCCAAATAAAAGGTAGCCAAGAGTTCATCCCTGGTCCTAAGGACAAGCAGCACCAAGCAGTTCCCACCCTCCCTGCTAGAGCTAAGCACCTTCCCCTGGCAGATCTGTGCAGGAGCCAAGAAGTGAAATGGTCCCAAACAGAGCCGGGGCTAAGTTAACGATTAGGTAGCAGTCTAGGGCTTTACCTCATTTTCCAGCTCTCATTGAAATTGCAGTTCAAATGCACCTAAGAGTACTGTGCCCTCTTCAGCCTGAAGCATTCAAACTCACTCCAGAAGACAGTCCCACAATAGGGGCATGGTCTCCATTCTGGGAACTGTTCTATATCTTAAAGAGTCACTGGACAACAGACACAACCACTGCAGGGAGTAAAATCTAGGCTTTGGCTCTCCCAGGGTTTTGCCCACTTCTCTGTTTTCAAATAAGAAAAACTGTTTTACTGCCTAAGCATCATGTCCCTTTCCCTTTCTTCTGCTGCAGCTCCACTCACTCTTTCTCACTGGGGAACAGCTAAAGGATTGAACAAAATACCTATAAGTTGATGAAAACATCTTAGGAGCTCACTGTTTCCTGCAAAAGTTGACACCTCTCTTATTAACTCAGCTAGGAAGAATTTTAACATTCTAAAAAGAGCAGGTTGCCTGATATATCCTTAGGAAATTAGTGCCAGTTTATTTTCTCACCGTTCCCCAGCCAACATGCAATGAGACAAGAGTATATGACTAATCAGCTCCTAGCTTAAATAACCTCAGCTCCAGTTGTAAATACTTTTTCATGCACACACACACTTCCAAAACATAGTAGGGACAAGATGTTGAAACAACAAGGTGTCAGACTTTTTCAACACGTTGGAATGATGGTATCATCTACAGCAGAGAATTTTAATTACCTACTTTATTGTCACAGTATTGAAAAGCCTTAGTTGATTCCCTGTACTCCCCCCCCCCCCAAAAAAAAAAACAAACCAAAAAACACAGAAACAAACACAACTGAGTTCAGTCTAGGTGAAAAATGGAAAAATGCATCTCTTCCGGTGGTATTTATGTCAGTCCATATGTCATCCTTGATCAACACATCTAATCATGTCCAAAAATTCCACAAATATTCCAGTCATCAATGGACTCTATAAACTTACATGAAAAATGGGCTGGGAGGGAACTATATGCAAGATGTGGAGAGAGCCGAGCACACAAAATCTCCAGCATACAGTCAGGGCATTCAGCTTTTAACAGGTTTGTTGTCTCCTGGAGACAAATGTTGCCTCCAGCTTGCACGTATCCAAAAAGCAAAAATATTAGCAGTGTTTAATAGAACTTTATGCAACAATAAACCAAGACAGCAGAGTCTATTTTCCTAGCTAAATGAGCAGAGGAGTGATTCTTATCACACACTTCCACCTGGGCTATATTTTCTTGTCTCAATTTGTTTCTTCTGTACTTGTTTAAAATTTTATGTTTGGTTACTCGATTTCCACTGCATTTCCAAACTCTGAATAGAGATGTCATCCCAGACAGGCTCTTTCCAATGTTTCACCAGCTGGCAAGGAACTGACAACAGCCTGCTTGGTAAAACGATGGTGTTAAGTCAGCAAGACTCATAATTTGAGAACATGTATCCCAAATTATTTGACTCCACTGCAAATTACAGGATAGCCCATGAATACTCCAACCCATCTCACAAACTACTACCACTCTATCGTGGACAAAAGCCATACACGTGGGGTTTTGCCATGGAGACTTTGTAGCCTATAGCAGGCTTGCTTACACAAGCAGTGAATTTGGGCCCCTGGTTTCTTATCTCTCACACAGAAAACAGTAATCTTAGGTACTGCAGTCTTCAGGGAAAACAGTGGTATACAAGGAGTGTCTGATGTACACAAAGAGATATGGCTGGTGAAACAAAACAAGTGCCAAAAAAGCCAGAATCCAAAAGGTAAGGGGGACATGCCATTCAGAGGACACACAACATACAGACAAAGCAGGTTGTTTAAGAGCCTATGCAATATGGGTCAGAAATTGGCAGTACATCAAGATTATGACCCAATAACAGGACCCTGAAGGGACTCTCTGAAACAAGATGTGAAAACAGCCTCAATACATGCAACAAACTCTTCCCACTGCATCTGGAATAGACAGGTGTGAATTGTACCTTGGGTAAAATGGCAATTCACAGATACAGCTAGCCAGTAACTGCAATGCACTGAACTCAATACGTGCTCTTCTTTAGAGATACATTTTAGTCAGAAAACAATATTAATGCCTACATCTGCTTTTTACAATAACTGACAAGGGCTCTTCAGGTGAGTCGGCCTGTTTCTTCCACTGAGCCCACTGAGGGCTACTGAACAGAAAGGCACCACCTCCAGCTCCAAGGCTCTGCACTGCAGAGGAGCCAGCCGGAGACTGGGAGAGCACTTTGGCAGGGTACCCCTCCATGAACACCCTGGGCTTTTATTCTTCCCCAGCATCTCCTACTCACCATTGTCCAATATGGAATAGTAGGACTTGATGGACCTTCGTTCTGACCCACTGTGGATGCTTTTATCTTATAAATCTCAGCAAGAAGGCTTCTTGAAGATGCAGCTTTATTGTGTCCTTGGCAGCTTTGACCGGTCTTCTATTTAAAAGCCAGTATCACACCAGCTATCCCTCTTCTCCTTTCCCTCTCCCAAGAGCAGACTGTTTCCTAATCCTGCTATTTTTTCCTTTATGTTGAGAAGAAAAAGCCACTGCTGTTTAAATTATTTACAGCAATGCTGGTCATATCTGAAGACAAACAGATTGTAACTCAACCACAATTTAAGAAGCAGAAAAAAGTTTTATTTCTTCTACTCATCATTTTTCTGGTGAAATAACACATTAAAAAAAAAAAAGAAGGAAATTAATAAATTTGAAATGGCTTTTTTCAAATAAAGAAATCCTACAGCGAAAGAAAACACCCTGCACAGATCTATATGTGCGTTTAGTTTTTTGAGTGCACAACAGAAACAGTTCCAATCTCATGTGTAATTCTTTATATTATCAGGGTTTTTAAGAGAAGTTGCTTCAGGAACGTCGAGTTTTCACATGGCTGAAATTACTGCTTTTTGGCCTCTTTAGTCCTGTATTTATGTGAGATTAACACACTCCAACAGTCATCTTAGTACATTGCACATTCACTAGTACACAGACCATCCATCTGGTCTCAAAAGCCAG